GAAAGATTTACTTAGTAAAAAAAGTTATAGATAGGAGCACTGCATATTCAGGCTTATAGTAAAATTTATATATAAAAAAAAAAATTTTTGTCCAGGTCTCAGGTAGATTGCCTATTAAAATATAAATCAAATATTCATAATTTAATTTAAATTTATCTTTTTTTCTTAGATATTTTCATGTTTATTTGCAGTGTGTGTGACAAAAAGTTTGGCTATCTCACAAGCCTTAAAAATCACAAAAAGGTTCATAAAACTCATTATTCAATTGAAAATGAAACCAACAATAGTACAGATATTTCTAATTCTGATCATATTGAAAGTGAAACTGATAATAGTATGGATACTTATAATTCTGATAGTTTAGAAGTTATAAATGAAGTTAGTACAAATACTTCTAATTCTGATTATGTTGAAAGTGAATCTGATAATAGTACAGATATTTTTAATTCTGATGGTTTAGATGTTATAAGCAAAGATAGCACAGATACTTCTAATTCTGATCATGTTGAAAGTGAACCTGATAATAGTACAAATATTTTTAATTCTGATGGTTTAGATGTTATAAGCGAACAAAATAATAACCTGACATTTGACGATCAAGAAAGTGCTAATGAATATAACTTGACATTTGATACCCAAAGTATTGTTGATAAATTAAATCCTATATTTGATAGCCAAAAAATTTCTAATACTTATAAGACTGGGGAATTTTTTGGGGAAAATATGTTGGAAAATAATATAATCATTGATGAAATTAACAAATTTCAAAGCAATGATAGTGAATATAATAGTGATAATGAGATAGATAATATAGATTTTTCAAGCACTGTATATCGAGATTTTATAGACATCGTAATTAGGATATTGCTTTTAATTAAAAATTCGGTTAATCAAGCTTTTTTTTCTTTAACCCTCTGATATGAATAATGCTTCCTTTAATATTAGATAATCAGATATAAGCTCTCTCACATGGCTGGTGATGCTATATTAAAGTTCATAAAAAAAATATAATCAAATTTCAAAGAAAATTTTGTTCTGTTCAACAAGAGATGGTCTTTATTTCTTGAATATATTAAGAAAAGACTATACTAAGTTTTTTTCAACTTTTGTTAAGAAAATTAAGGACTAGATATATTCATTTGAGCACAGACCAATTATTTTAGCGGTTAAAGAAATTCTTCAAAATCAAGAAATTGCAAACAACTATATTTTTGATTATTAGGAAATTTACACAATGGTTAAGGCAAATAAAACTTTTAATAACTATAATCATACATTTTATTATCATATAAACATAATATTATATAGCTTAGATTTATGTTTACATACTTTTTTTCCAATTCTGGTTTTTTAGAGGCATCAAGAAAGATTATTTGCTAAATTTTATAATTTCAATTGGTGGAGTCGTGCACAACAATATATTTTATCTGAAAATAAGGTCTTGGCTATAATATTATACTCTGATACAACTATATTAGATCATTTAGAGAAGGGTTCATGACACCCAATATTTGTCAGTTTGGGTAATATTTCAACAGAACTTCAAAACAAAGCTGAGTTCAAAGCACTTGTTGATATCATACTGATATTGCAAAAAACAAAAAAAGAATAAAAAACACCAGAGTTTAGACAATTAATTTAATCAGTTTTTCACAAATATATTAACATATTAATTGAACTATTACGTTCGTAGTATCATTTTGGAATATTATTAAGGGTTAATAACTATAATATAAGATGTAATATAATATTAGTTTCAATTATCGAGGATTGGCCTAAAAACTGCAAATCATATTTAACTTATAGTGAAACAAGTTGCACACATCTTTGTCATACCTGTTTTGTAAGAAAGAATAAATTAAACATTATTAATTTACCCACTAATCACAAGATTACTTGAACAGAAAACCAAATAAGACAAGTAATTGAAATAGAACAAGACAAAAACTACTCATTATATAAAGAAACTAATAGTTTTTGAAATCATCTGTAAGTGGTTTGTTAATTACAATTTAAATAATAGTACAAGAAATTTTATTTAACTATATGCTTTAAGCTAGTAATAGGACCTCTCGAATTATTAATTATAATTATTAACAATTAACTCGAGTTATTAATTAAAAACTACTTAGTAATATGCAGCACAGTAGACCAATTAAAACTATATAAATCAATTCATCTATATGTTGGGATAGTTGTTTTCTATTATTTATAATTATTTCTATCATTAACTTTCATTACAATTTTTTGCATACAATTATTTTAATTGTATTGAATATGCAGCTTTTAATAAGAATTATTAACAATAGTTAAAATTATTATTTATTAACTAAACTAAAAGCTCAAAGGTCCTATCACTACTTTAAACCATACAAGTTTATTGTAATAAATTGTTTCTCATAAGTTGGGTGGGTCAAATTTTGCAAAGTTTCAAAAAATTTTTTGACTATACTTACTTTCAGGTAAGCTTTTTTAAAAACTTGTAAAACTATTATACATATTTTTTATATGTAAAAATCAAATTTAAATCCAAGCTGTCGGGTTATTTTTAAAACTTTATGTTATGAGAACTAAAAAACTAACTTTGTATAACCTTATTTTTTATTACTATATTATAAAAACTTCAATATTTATATGGCAACAGTTCCTGAGCAAATGCACTATTTAGATCTTGGGCTCTTTTTATATATGGTTAAATTTACACAAGATCTCTTAAAAGTTCACAGTAAAAATATTCTTATCAATAAAATGGACCAAAGATTCGGGATGATACCATGATATCCAGAGCTAAAAATATTCAACAATAGGCTTGCAAATATAGCTTTGTTTATAATATTAGAATACAAGCAAATGATAAAAGTCATATCTTTTGTTCTTGAAGGACTTTTTACAAAAATAAAAACAAATTGCTTGTTCAAATGTTCATTAATTGGAATAAGATGTATTGTTATTCAAAATGATAAAAATTTACTTAAACTGATCTTTTCCAATTTGAGGTTAGTAATTTTATTTATATAGGCTATATTCAGCAATTCAGATTCTTTCATTAGTATATACTATATTTACCCTAATATGTACAGTAATACAGATACTTTATTGGGTTTAGTAAAAAAAATTGAATTGTTATGTATATTCAAATATATTCAAATATAATACATATACTGTACTACTAAAAAAAGTCTGAACTGCTAAATGGGGCTATAAATAAAGATTTTGTTTATTATGTAAATTATTGGGTTTGTACTAATAAAATTGCTAATGACTATTAATTAATAGAGATCGATTTAGAGATGGGCAAAAAATTTTGGTTATATCCTTGGTTCATTCACAAAGAATGACTGTCAGTTTTTAAAATTTCACCACTAGATACATCATACAATAGAAACAATTAAGGAATATGAGAATCTAAATAGTTTAAATGCCAAGACATATGAGGCACTCCACAAGCAGTATATTAAAACTCCTTACAGGATATCTAACAAATGTGATATTAATAAGCAGATTATGCAAAAGGTTTTTGTATTTGATATACATACTGCTATTACTATATTTAATTTGTACTAATACAATAATATTAGATAATACGAACGATTACGATTAAGAACATCATTTCAGAAAATTACCAATTAAAGATTAAAAAAAAAACAAGACAATTTGGAAAAAAATATTGTACCATACCTCTGCATCTTCTAAGGTCTCTTGTTGAATTATATGAGCAAAAAGAAGAATCTATTACTAAAATTCTTGAAGGTTTACGCTATCTTGCTCCTGCAATAAATAATTATTTTAAACTTATACCTTCTATTCTTAAAAAAAATGTAGAGAAATCAGAAGCAACTTTAATATTATATGAATCTTTTGCATTATCTAATAAAGAGCAAATAAGAGCTACGAAAAATCATTACAATGTGCCAATGTTTAGTGATGTTGCTGTTCTTATGGATTCAGAGCAAGAATTTGAAGTATATGATGGATATTGTTTTGCAAAGGTATATATTTAAAATAAAGTTTTTACTCATAATTTATACTAACTACTTTACTTTTATAGGTTTTATTATTGATTCGTATTGTGTTTAAAAATGCTTCAATGTTTAATCTAGCACTTGTTCATTGGTATAACTTTAAACACCCAAACATCCTTCAAAATTTTATAAATTTGGGTGCCCTTATTTACAATTAACAAGCATTTACAATATAATTCTGATAGAGTCAATTAATAATATTGTTCATATTGTTCCGCAGTTTGATGTATTGAATTCATATTATGTTAATATTTTTATATAGATATATAAAATTTATATGAATATTTTCTTTATATAATTTTATTACTATTTGCTATATAATGGTAAGGATTGTAAAAAAAAAAAATATAGCTTTTTTAATCTACTGAATGAGTACATATAATAATGTTAATTTTTTTTTTTGGTATTAAGGTGATCTCTTGGTCATGTGTACTTTATTGATTTTGAATGTTATATATATTTGGAGGGTACATCTAGTCATATTTGCGCCTTTTGAGTACCTATTTAAGTAGTCTGCCTATTACTAGGTTCTACACTAGTTGCCATACTGCAACACACTAGGAGGTTATCTATCTAAACTCTCTACACCTATGTACTCTGATATCTATATCAATCAGCAACTATTCCTCTAATTTTATAAACTGGTCTTTCTGGTATATATTCACATGATGATTTAGAACTTTAAAGTAGACTTCTATCATCTTTGTAATCTACTTCTGGTCCTTTATTCTCAAGATAAACCTGGCAGAGCTTGCAGTATTCCCACTTTATACTGCACCAAGCCTGTGCTTCAGTTTGATATGCACAGACCATAGCCTGCTACTTGTGGCTCAGTTTTTGCCTATCCTAAGAGTGTGTATAGTGCCGAATTGAGGTCTCTATCTACGGTTTTTTCCCCTAGCTTAAACTTTCTTCTGCTTTCTTCTATGGTTAACCCCAGTTTGGCTAAACTCTGCTATCCAAACCTACTTTTGCCTTTATAGAGTTTACTCAAACCCCAAAACTTACTTCACAGTATATTCCTAGTACTTTAGTAACCTAGCTTTCTTTAACCAGACTTCTAATTTAGATAGCCTAGTATGTAATTACTTATTTTTCTCTAATTCGATGGTGGCCTAGTTGGTGTTGACGATTTTATCTATTTATCAATAGCAGGGCCCCAACCCTGGTTCTCAACTTCCAAGCTAAATAGTCTGGTAATCATGTACTTTTTCTTTGTGTCTAAGCAGATAGCCCTAAAGAGTGGCTAGTAGGTTTTCTACTATCACTATGACTTGTCTGCAATTGCAAGGACTCCCTAGCTAGATTCCCGGTTCTCTTTCCTATTTGCAGCAGCCTGGTTGATGTAGGTGCAACCCTAACACCCCATATTTCATCCAGTTCAGTTCACATAGTTTCTATTTCCTGGGTTTAATCTTTACAGTAGCTCCATCAAAATCTGTGCTACTTCTCTACTTGGGACTTGCCAAGGGGCTTCCATATTTGCAGTTCTCCAGATTTACACAGGCCAGAGGCTTATCTTATATTTGTACCACCTTATTATCAGTTTGTATTTCTTTATGTAATATTATGTCACATGAATGCCCCAGACCTCTCAGTCTTGCTGATGTGATTGTAGTTACAGATATCCTATTCTAACTGATTGTTGAATACAGTTAGCCATAACACAAGCAGAATTTTTAAATTTTCGTCACTGGTAAGATTCAAACTCTTGATCTGCCACTTGGAAGTAACAACTTGACCACTTCACTTTGTCGCCACATCCTATATTAATAATATTAATTTAGGTTTGCTATAATCACATGATTATAATATTTAGTTTTTTATTTATGCATCAACATCCAACAAAGATAAGTTAATGAAAATTTATTTATAAGATTTTCTTAAAGTATCCAAATAGAGTAATACGTGATCATATTGCACAACTTGAGCAATGAAAATAGGCAAACGGCTGTCATCAGTCTTTTCAGGTAACATATTATATAAGCTTAGATTTATTTAGTGAAAGTGACTCTTATAATTAGGGAACCTGACATAGCCCTATAAAAAATTTTTGTCCAAATTTTGTCAGCAATGTTCTAAAAATTTCTAAATTACCTCAAAAATTAAGATGACATGCCTTTATTATAAAATTATTATAAATTTATTTTTTTATAATCTGATTGATAAAAAAAAAATTTAATGATATTTAAAAAAATATTTTTACTATACTTATAGTATGGCATGCCAGAGTGGCATCTTGGCTAAATAGCATACCAAATAATTTTAGGCATGCCAGGTTCTCTACTTATGATATTGAAGAAAGACAAAGGAGAATGCTTTGGTATTTGATATAAGCCATATTGTTCTGAATCATTAATTGAAGATTTATTAAAATTTAAATATTTAACTCTTTAGTAGACGATAACAGCTCAGGAAAATTGTTAACGCAGTTTTTAATTGGTCATATGGCCTCTAAATCAATTTAATCAATATTAAACACAATTATACACGATATGAAAGTTACTACAATCGAATGGACTCATCTACAAAATTCACGCTCATAAATTAAGTAGTTAAGGAAAAATATATCCTCTGTGTCCAACATGTCATGTAAGAACTGCAATGACTTTAAACATAAATTGTCAAACAAATAAGGGTCCAAAGTCCAGGCATTAGCAAAAAGATAAATAATAGGGCAGT